AATGATTCCGGAATTTCCAGTGGTTGTAAAGATATTCCAAATCGATTTCGTAAACGATATCCGAATAGATTCTCCTACAGCAATTATGCTAAATTTTGTGATAAAAAACCTACACGTTTCTCTCCTTTTCTCTCTCTCTCTGAGCCGCAGGACTCACTGTATGTTGAGAATCAGAAATTACGTGAACAAATCCGGGCGTTGACAACGACCAATTACGAACTGGAAGCGAAAATAAACTTTTACGGACAAAGAGTAAGTCGCGAAATATTCAAATCCGAATTCGGCTCATATATATATATATATATATATATATATATATATATATATATATATATANCACTGACACTGGGTCAAAACGTTTGTGTCAGATTCCGTAACGGTTTACTGCATAAGGAAACTATCTTCCGGTGTTCACTGTAAACCGTTTTTCAGCTTATATGTTCATCTGGCGTGAAACAATTCTCGGAAGTGCTTTACATCATTGAGACAAATCAACATTTGCCCTCAGCGTCTTTGAGATCCTAACTGCTTAGCGTTAGTGACAGCATGGCACAACATTCACTGTAAAAAGGTATTATATTTTGCAGTTCATTGTATATCAATGCAGGAAAGAACAAAAGAAAATGAAGGAGGCTGGTTTTGCATAAATTCATTTAACGGGTAAAATACGATGTGTGCTGTATCAGTGGGGGGATGAAGTATTCGATGCCGAGTTTCTCGTTTCGCCATATCAGCTTTTATTCAAGTGAAAAAACATGGAAATCCTCCTCAGAGCACGGTACATTTACAAAACGAAGGATGCATCAAAACAGTAACCACGGGCTATTAATGTAAAAACGTTTCATCGACAGTCCAATCTATATCAGGGAGGTCAGGGGTCGAAAAATGGAACGGGGTGTTTTTTTACATTTGCTGGTTCTAGCCAGAGGTAGTCGAGAAGTGGGCCTCGTCGAAAGGTTGAAATAACAGGAAGATAGGTGAGTATGAAGAGAGAGAATGTGAGTTATCATCTAGGATTTTGTGACTAAGATTCATGAAATAATCAGTACGACGAACACGCATTTTGGTGAGAGGAGTGAAGATGTGTGGGTGGAAAACGCGGCCGATGATACTGGCTGACTAAGCCGCATTGGAATGTTTTATAATCAGACCTTGAAGGTAGTTATGCAACACACAAGCGTACCAGTATGGTAGAACAACCGTCCCATTTTACAGACAGATATTAGAGAACGAGAAGACAATTTTACCTAATCCTCTAAGAATAAACTAAAAGATATCTATAGTGTCGACCATGCAATTGTATTTGGCTTATGGGAAGAAGATGAACGCGAAAGCGACACTACACAAACTTGAATCATTTCGTTGAGCCAAATTTAAAGCAAAGCACCCAATTTGATAGGGCTGATGCCAATAACTCATTTCGTATGAGCAGTGGGTTCAGACGGATGGTGACTGTAGTCCTATTTTTCGAAGCGACCCCGTTTCGAGGAGCCGACTGAGTGACTGACAGTGATGACCGAAATGATGACTAATATCAAAGTGGTGTTATGAGTGCTTTTTATCGATAAGCAGTCGGCCTTTCTCCTCCTCACCCCACCCCTCAAATAAAAGACGAATCAATTCCAATTGCAATCATTTTGCTTATTCATCTATTCTAGGTTCGTAAAAAGGTAAGCAGTTCCGACGAAAATCTCACACAACGTTTAGCAAATCCCTTATTATAAACAGAAAGTCGGGAAAAAATTACTCAATATAGTGTCCTAATTACATCACTTTATGTGCATTGTGAATGCCACATACCATGTTAACTTTCTAACTGTGTCATTCAACTCCCTTCTTTGACCAGTATATGTGGTAATCATTGAGCAATAATACTCAACTGACAAGTCTGCTCAATCCAATTCATCTCATGGTGCTTTTAACCATCCACAGGACGTGTATACTATAGTACATGGAGAGTGAACTATGCATGTATACCACAAAAAGACCGACGTACCTAAATCACATTTTACCGTTTTTTCATAAGTGGTCCGCTTAATAATGTTCTTCTTCTAAAGGTAAGACTACTGATGGATAGCTCAACTGGAGATGGGAATCCTTTTTTGTGGTTTCTCAAACGAGGTGATTCTGTTCCTAGATTAGGTGAGGCTATAGAACGGAAGAGTCAATGATCATCTATCATAGAAATAGCTTACACATATACGAAGATGAAGCGTTCTTTTCGGTTCTTATATTCCATTCTACTGAGAAGGAGACTGAACGGATCGGGCAAATATCCCTATCCACGTATTTTCTTGTCAACAAGATATATTCTGCGCACTGGTTGGTACACATGGATCAATCAGCCTATCCAATGCTAAATCCACCACAGGTGGATGATCCATCATGATCTCTCCATTCCACATATAAAGATCACAGTACAGGATATTAGGCCACTACTCATTATTCTCACCCAAGGGAACTCACAAAACTTGTAGATGAAGATGACAGACTTTCTGGGGCGTCGAAAAAACGATTTAGATTTGACCTTGTTAACGTTAACCTCGGTCTACTTAAAGTCACGGACTTGTGCGTGTGTGTGTGTGTCTGTTTGTGTGTGTGTGTGAAAGAGAACTGCTGCTCGGGGCCTCGATCTCTCTCTCTCTCACTGCCCCGGTTGTATTAAAGTTGTGACAATTTAGTCCAATCCTAGTTGTGCAATGATAAAGAATAATGCAGTTAAATCGAACATTGTGGGTCGAGACAAACAAAATTGTTGATGTACCATATCCGATAGTCCACGCAACTGTTTTTGTCGCTTTGGGCCGGTGCAGATGCGGCAACATTTGGCTTGCAACCCGTCGCATCCCCATCCACTCCAACTGACAACTTACCACCACCCACAGAAAATGTCGGATGTCCTATCACGCCCGGATTCTGAATGATCAACTGAAAATTATTTTACTGAGTTCCACACGCCATTCCATGGTTAATTCTCGTTCCTGTACAGCCTGCCTCAGTAGTTATACTCATCCTGTTAATTTTTTTTACCACCATCACTACCTCTTCATTCACAGTAGGTTTTTGTGTGCCACAGCCACAATTCATATTCCAATGAAACCCGGATGTTAACTATTCACAGTCATCCCGAAGAACCTTAAGGTACACACAAACAATGAAGCCAATTCTGAATGTCTCAAGTTGTGCTTAACTCCGAAAAACCCGCTTCATGCTTCATTTGCTCTATACGCGTTGAATTCTTTGAGGGGCAAAGTCACAAACGTCACCAGTGTCACTTGTCCCGCATCAATCCGAAGGTGCACAAGAGCAACGCTATTCTCGTAAGCTGAAATCCCGGAATAGACAAACAATATTTGATCACATAACTTTGACCAGCAAAAAGAGTACCCAACAGCTTTCAGTGTCACCCATCATGGGTGAACCCGAATGGGCTGATTATTCGACAAAGGTAATTATAGATGCACCCCAATGATTTCGCGACAAACCGGTCAAATTGGTTTCAGCGGATGTCAGTACGATTTAAAGAACAAATCATGTAAAGGGGCTAGAACATGTCGGAATTCCAGCCCGAAATCGGTACGATAGATTCAACACCCCCGCAATTCAATCATAACCATGCCCGGGAATTTCAACTTCAAGTTCCCCACCGATTGACCGCCAGATATCCACCAAGACATTTTTAAACACAAGACAATTTTTCATGCATTCTGACTCTACTGGTCTCCATCGTAATTGTACCGATTTGTATCCATCCATGTGTATCATTCTCACACTGTTCGATATTTGATGGCAAAAGGGTACGGTGTGGCAAATGTGTCCGGAATGTATCCCAAACCTATTGTCCTTCATTTTATCCATTCATCTTAAATTACACAACACACCTCGACTGAACGTTCCCGCGAAAACAAACCCTCCCCGCCAACACACACAGCCGATCAGTTGTTCATCCATTTCATCATTCCACTCAACAGGCGAATCCGGAAAAGCAGAATACTTCAAAGCTCAGTGGTTCGCGTGTGGAACAGTTGCGTTCGAATGCGGCACGGGAATCTCATCAGTTGGAGGATCTCCGAGAAATTTTGATCCCGGTCGACCGGAAACGAAGTGCTTGTAAGTGTCTATTTGATTTGAATGTTGAGGAGCGAATGTCCCAGTTACGGCTGACTGTTCGTTTTCTCAATGTGTATAAGCTGTAGGCTAGAACAGGTTAAAGATATAAACTATACATTTTTAGTTTTCTACCACACACTGCATTCCTCGTGGGCTGGATGACACAATAATGAGTTAGCATCTCTCATCGGATTTTCTTATCGAATAGCCGCAATTAGTGTTCTTTTCATGCATAAAGCTACAATGTTATGCACATCGGATAGCAGTAGCACCCTGGAGGTTGCGGACTGCCGTGTCCCTCTTTCAAGCATCTCTCATCCTCAACCAAACTGTCAGTTCTGAGAAGTTGATGCATAAGTCAGCGGCTACTTCATGGTGAACATCTTAACCAGAGAGTTTTACCAACTTGCGGGTGGCTTAGACCTAAGAAATCGGCATGCGACGACAGCCAGTCGTGAATGGGAGGGAGCGAGGCACTGGTTATTGACGGTGGTGGCCAAGCGGTTAGATCACCAACGTGCGACCTGAGTGTACCGGGTTCGAACCGCTCTACCGCCGCCCGTCTTCCCTATTTCTGTATTTTGCCAGGCAGTCTCTGTATGACCGTGGTCACGTTCCTGAAAGTTGACTGTACATTTGTGTATTCAATGAATAAAAAGGATGAAAAAAGACAAGACAAGCTAAGGTGTTCTAATGGCCACACAGGTACTCTGCCAAATCAATAAAAACGCATTGATACCTGGGCTGAATCGCTTCACCAGTCGAACCGGGGAACCAGAGTACTCTCGAAATACCGAAAGCCGATTAACACTGATGATTTCTGTTGCCCTATAATCCCACGAAACTTCGTGACCATCAAAAAACCAGCTTATACCACCCGCACTTTCCGACGGAATCAAGTAAGTTTGTGGTTCTGTTTTCAGTTGATAATTAGCTTCACCCATTTCAGTGACTCCGAACAGGTGATTACATACGTGCACTTGTTTTACTCACCCAATTTTCTAGATGAAAAACCAATCAGATAATAGTGACAGGTTTGTCAGAAGATTGCAATGTGCGTAATGGTGACACCTTGTAATGGCGCGATAAAGATGCACTGACAACGATCTTCATTGTCACTTAATGTTTTTACCAACCATAATATCCCTGTGTTTTCCGTTTTACAATAGAAAGAAGCGAATCAAAAGATTCAGTTCGTTATTTTACTTTACCAATAAAAACCAACACAACTCTCGTGCAGCACACTGTAATGTGTCTTGTCTTATTCCTTCCTTTTTTATTGAGTTTAGAAATGTGCAGTCACTATTCAGGAAGAGGGGCCTCGGCCACACAAAGTCTGCCTGGGAAAATACAGAGATAGGGAAGACCGTTTTTACTTCTGTGTACCGTCTTTGGAGCCGTGGACCCTTGAATAGGATGTATCCTGTAATCACTGTTTCAGTTATCGTACGTTAGAGACTGTATTTCATCCGCATCGATCAATTCTTCGCTCCACACCGATACGTCCTGAAAGCAAGCGTGTGTTCAGATTGCGTAGGCAAACTGTAGTGTGTGGCTCCTTGAAATACTCTCGTATTGAGCCTCTTTGGCTGCACGTGCAGGTATCTTAGCGTTCAGCTTGGAAACAAAGCAAACAGATGATCGGGTGAGCTCCTATGCGGATTTCTGTTGTTAACATTCTCGAAAGCCCCAGCCGCTGTGGGCATAACCTAAATAGTACAGGCTGCATCTGCCTTGATCATCTACCTCCAATCCGACAGGATAAACGTCATCCGGTTGCGGTAAACGGTACCATTCTCGTTTCGCCTACCCGCGTCTATCACATACCGATTAAGCCTGAACCCGGTCGGGACAGCAAGCCCTAATGGGCATGTCTGATGCGTTTGTTGTCCTGTATTGGATGTTGGTCAACCGGCTAAAATCCATCACAAGCCACAATGAGCATCAACATGAATGTGCTTGAACGAGGCTGGAGAACAGCTAGTCCGAATGACGACAGTCACGGCGGAAAGCGATTGACGGTTCAATTCATCACAGGTGAACCAATTGTGCATCCCTAAAAGCGGTGCATCAAACCAAAACAAGCTTGGCGGTTTCCAATCCATCAAGTTCAAAGCAAACTATCTTACCTATGTTCAATGTTCAATGTTCTTCAATTAGATGCAGAGGGTAATTTCCCGTATGAGCCTCATCACCACAGACTCGAAGATCTTATTCATGATAGATCTGCATACCACATTGTTCGCAGGACGCTGTCGAGCTTCCCCTTGAACATCTTATCATTGACCTCGCCCACCACGTCAGCTGGAAAGGAGTTCCAAAGGTTGGTTACCCTTCGCGATAGCCGGAACCGAAGAGGTAATCCTACGGACGAAAGCTTCAACAGCGTAAGTCCATGTCCACGAGTCCTGGTCTGCTCGCGCAGAGGGAAATACTCCATCAACTCTGGACCCATGTCACCGCGAAGAATACGTCGCACACAGATGATATCACCCCGTANCCCCGTACTCGGCGATAGGACTCCGGAAACAATCCAGTCGCATGCGATCGTTGGGTGTTCCAACACCCGCGTAACCCGGCAATCATACGGGTGGCAGCTCGTTGGACTCTCTCCAGCTTCATCATTTCAGCAGTTGTATAGGGATATGCCGCGGCACTCGCGAACTCCAAGCAAGGTCTCACGTGGGGGGTGTACAATGCCTCGAAACCGTCTTATGAGAGTTTGGAAAACGAACGATTAATGGCTCTAAGGATTTTCCAGCTCAAGGCGCAAGCG